TAAATGGCATTTTCACTTGTGGAGCCACCAGCTGCCACCAGGTTCCGCCGGATGGTAATTCTCGGAGCCGCTAAGAACCGCTAGATCGTATTTCTCGGAGCCAGTGGCGGCCGCTAGGTGCCGCTAAATGGTAGTTTTCGGGGCCGCTAAAGGCCGCTAAGTGCCGCTGAACGGCCGCTGCAGGCCGCTGAGCGGCCGCCGAGTGCCACTAAATCTTAATTCTCGGTGGTCGCGATGGCCAGTCCGAAGTTCCCGGGAGAGCCCGCGCGAGGAAAGCCGAGGCAAGGGCGAAGCCGCCGACGCGCGTGGCGCGCGGGAAGGCTCTCTCGGGCGCGAAACATTGAGGAAGGGCAAGTGGGGGACCATTGGGAGCATAATGGGACCAGAGTGGTGTGCGGAAGGCGAGACAAGCGGGGCATCGCTGCGAAGGGCGCAGCCGCTCCTGGCGCGCGCAGCGCGCGCGAAAGTATTCGCCCGGCAGCAGCGCACCAGCGACGAACAGGGGAGTGTGCACTTCACGAGGAAGAGTCCATTTATATGCGCAGATAGCATTGCCGACGGGTTTGCGGCGCGCAGCTGGCAGGGCTATCAGTGCAGCGGCAAGTGCCAGGAGAAATTGCCGAAATCGGCCTTCTCCGTGGACAGTCGCCATGTCGCGCGCGACGAAAAAAATGCGCCCGCGTCACGAACCGTGAAGTAGGACCGCCAGGGGTAAGCGCGAGAGGGGGGGCGAAGCCGATGAAGGGGGAAAACCAAGAAGGATAAGTCTGATGAGGAGGAGGACGAGGAAGGAGGAGGAGGTGGAGGAGGATGGGGAACAGGCGGAGGAGGGTCAACGGAGGAGGAAGAGGAGAAGGAGGAGTGACGATCTGGAGGCCTTTCGGGAGGATGTCCGACACTTCGGACAGCGTGTGTGTCACCCAGACCCTGTGCAGGTAGGTGTCTGGGCCGTGCAGTTTGTCATGGCCGTCGGTCCAAACCGGTTTGGCAGGGGTCAGAATTTCAGGGGTGTTTCGCGGGGTCTTTTCGGAGCGCTCTGGAGGCGGGGGTGATGTCAGATGCTGGAGGGATACTAGGTCAGTGCATTGTCCGTGGCTGACTCTCGAAGTTTTCGCCGTGCAGGCCAAGGGAGATACGTGCGAACGCCCGCGTTCATAGACGGCGGGCGTCGGTCCAAAAACCGGGCGAGTGGGTCTCGAATGGCAGGCGGCGCATCCCGCCACCGAGGTTGGTATGCGGGTGTGCGGCCACGCGGATGGTTGATGGGTTTTGTGGGAGGCCAGACGGCCAGACGGGGTCGTTTTGCAGGTAGTTTTGGGACCTCTTGTGGGCTGCCTGGGAGCTTCTTGGAGGCCTTTGAGGTTCTCTGGGGGTCCCTCAGGGCCTCTTGGGGTGTTCTTGGGGCAGGCTGAGGCGTCTTGGGGCCGAAGGCTCAAAATGGTGCCCTCAGGATTCCCACTTGGGGCCGCCTGGGGGCCGTCCTGGGCTGTCTTGGGGGCTTTGTGGGCTGTTTTTGTACCCTCCTCGACCCCTCTTGGGAGCCCCTTCGGCCGTCCGGGGGCGATATTGGGCCGTCCGGGGGCGATGTTGAAGGTTTCGTTGCCCGTCTTGGGCGTCGTGGAAGCCGAAAAGCGAGTGTGCAAAATTATATGCGTATATGGGAGTGCCCGCGCCCCGGGCCCCGGGCCGGACCCCCCCTCTGTACATAGGTATTGGCCCCGTCCCGGGACGCCCCTCCAGCGGCCCCCGCGCATTCCAGTCCGCCCAAGAAAGCTCCAACAGCGCCGAGAGAACTCCAGGATCGCTTCAAGACCGCCAACAATCGCTTCCAGACGGGCCAGGATCCACCGAAGGCCCCAGTGGCAGGGTCCGCATGGCGGCCCTGCGCCATTTTGGCGCACCCCTCGCATGGTTCGTGGCCCCACAGGGAACTCCACCGAAGGCCCCACTGGCAGGGTTCGCATGGCGGCCCCGCGCCATTTTGGCGCATCTCACACGAACCGTGTGACACACAGTTCGTGGCCCCAAAGGGAGCTCCACCGAGGGCTCAATGGGAGGGTTCGCGTGGCGGCCCCGCCCCATCGTGGCGCACCCGTCACACTGTTCATGGCCCCGTGGGGAACTCCACCGAAGGCCCCAGTGGCAGGGTTCGCATGGCGGCCCCGCGCAATTTGGGCGCACCCCTTACACGGTTCGTGGCCCCACAGGGAGCTCCACCGAAAGCCCCAGTGGCAGGGTTCGCATGGCGGCCCCGCCTCATTTTGGCGCACCCGTCACACGGTTCGTGGCCCCACAAGGAGCTCCACCGAAAACCCTAGTTGCAGGGCTCGCATGGCGGCCCAGCTTCATTGTGGCGCATCCCTCAAAAGTTTCGTGGCTCCATAGGGAATTCCACCGAAGGCCCCAGTGGCAAGGTTCGCATGGAGGCCCCGCCCCACTTTTACGCACCCCTCACACGGTTCGTGGCCCCACAGGGAACTCCACCAAAGGCCTGGGTTGCAGGGTTTGCGTGGCAGCCCCCCCCATTTTGGCGCACCCCGCACACGGTTCGTGGCCCCACAGGGAGCCCCACCGAAAGCCCCAGTGGCAGGGCTCGCATGGCGGCCCCGCCCCATTTTGGCGCACCCCTGCGGTTCTCACACTTACACATGGTTGGGTCTTTCGCAAGGATAATTCAACTCGTGTGTTTCTACCAGGGCTCGTTTCTTTTTTATAAAAGGGAAAGTGAGTTATCACCGAATTTTGCCCCTGGCCACCCGGTTTACAACAACAGCGGCTCCGGCTTGATATTTCCTGACAGTGTATTCCCAAATCGCGCTCTCGGGCGGGACCCCATCACAACTTATACAGGAATCGCGCTCGCGCGTGGGACCTCCTCGCAATGTATTCAGACGCCGCGCCCTCGACACTCCTGAATCATGCTCTCGCCCTGGATTTCTTCACGATCTATTGGAGGAATCGCGCTATCGCTCGAGTCTTCCCCGTGATTCATGCAGGACCCACGCTTCAGTAACCTGCCTGCTCGATCTGGTCACCTGGGCCCGCTTTCCCGACCTGCCCGCTATGGGTCTGCCCACCCGATCTGCCCGTCTGGTTTTTGTTCCACTTGTTTTCTGCTCCTTGCTCCGTTCCTGCTAATTTCTGTCGTGCTCCATCCTCCTCACTCCCCCTTGTCCTTTCCTTCCATTCGTCCTCCCCTCCCTTGCCTTAGGGCCTACACGAAATACACGTTGCAGTTAAGAAAGATATTCCCATAAAGGGGGTACGATCGAAGACGAAGGGGGCGGGTATCGAGGGTATCATAGAGCATTCGGGTGACATGATTGAGTTCGTTTCTGAAGAATACTTATAGTTGATTCCCCCTTCTGGTAACATATGTGTGTTTTAATTGAAGTGCCCCTCCTGGGGCTCACACGCTTTTTTATCAGGGGTCTTCCTGCTCAAACTGCGCTTCTGGCTTCCGAGCTACAAGAACAACGGCTCCCGCCGAATACTTCTTCGCAACGTATTGAAGAATCGCGCTCTCGCGTGGGACTTCCTCGCAATTTACTCAAAAGGATGCGCCCTCGGCGGTCAGGAATCACGCTCTCGCATTGGGCTTTCTCACGATTTTTCTTTGGAGTCGCGCTATCGCTCGAGTCTTCCTCGTGATTCATGCAGGACCCACGCTTCAGCAACCTGCCTGCTCGATCTGGTCACCTGGGCCCGCTTTCCCGACCTGCCCGCTATGGGTCTGCCCACCCGATCTGCCCGTCTGGTTTTTTGTTCCACTTGTTTTCTGCTCCTTGCTCCCTTCCTGCTAACTTCTCTCGTGCTCCATCCTTCTCCGTCCGTCCCCTTTCCACCCGTACTCTCTTCTCCTTGTTTTAGGGGTTGCATTAAATGCACGTGGCAGGTAAGGAAGATATACCCCCAGGGGGTACGATCGAAGACGACGAGGGCGGTGCCGAAGGTTTGGGATACACGTATTGATTGGCACGTGAGCCAATACGAGCGAACAGTCTTACAATGATTGTTGTTATCGTTGCTTTTGGTGTTGTCGTTGTCGTTGTCGTTTTTTTAGTTGTTGATGCGCTGTTGTTGTTGATGGTGACGACGACGAGACATCGATGAGGATGACTATGATGATGGCGATGCTGATGCTGTTGCCGATGATGATCTTGATGATTATATGACGACGTTGGTAGTGATTCTAATGATCAGGAGGATTATGATGGTGCTGCTGCTGATGATGATGATGATGATGATCCTACGACTGGTCATGACTTTGCTGACGATGATGCAGATGACCCTGATGAGGATGCTTACGATGCTTACGACGACGATGATGATGATAATGTTGCTGCTGCTGCTGCTGATGATGATGATGATGATGATGATGTTGATGACACTGATGATGATGATGCTGATGATGATGATGATCATGAGGAGGATGATGACGATGACGATGCTGATGATGCTGTAGATGATGCTGATGGTGATGCTAATGATGATGCTGCTGCTGATGATGCTGCCGATGATGATGATGATGATGATGTCGATGCTGCTGCTGATGATGATGATGGTGATGATGATGATGATGACGATGACGATGACGATGATGATGATGCTGCTGATGATGCTGATGATGCTGATGATGCTGATGCTGATGATGATGATGATGCTCATGATGATGATGATGATGATGATGATGATGATGATGATGATGATTACGATGCAGCTGACGCAGATGATGTCGCTGATGGCGATCGTGACGATTCTGATGCTGATGCTGATGCTGAGGATGATGATGATGATGATGATGATGATGATGATGATGATGATGCTGATGATGATGATGATGATGGCTATGGTTGATGAGTAGTGTTTGTGATGAGGACGCTTAGGTGGAGCAAAAGGATAGGAGCAAAGGAAGAACAGGAAGGAAGGCCAATAAACAACAAGAGGCAGGGGTTGTTGGTGTGCAGTGTGTTGTGAGGATAAACGTGTTGACCGGCCAGGCACGATCAAGTCTTTCGATCAGGACAAGGGCGTCGGCCTTATCGAGTGCGAAGAGCTGCAGGTTATCTACGGTTGCGACACAACCCTGGATAAGAAACAGGATTGCTGGATGGGACATACAATTCGGGAGGAGGAGTGCAAGCAAAACGCAATGGATCTTTGTTCATTGATTGCTGAGGGGGGTAGATGGAGGAGATGGGGGAAGCAGGGAAAAAGGAGGAAGATGGTGAGGAGGAAAAGGAGGAGGAGGAGGAGGAGGAGGAGGAGGAGCCAGAGGAGGAGCCATAGGAGGAGGAGGAGGAGGAGGAGGAGGAGGAGGAGGAGGAGGAGAGAGGAGGAGCAGGAGGAGGAGGAGGAGTCAGAGGAGTCAGAGGAGTCAGCGGAGTCAGAGGAGTCAGAGGAGTCAGAGGAGTCAGAGGAGCCAGAGGAGCCAGAGGAGTCACAGGAATCAGAGGAGTCAGAGTCAGAGTCAGAGTCAGAGTCAGAGTCAGAGTCAGAGTCAGAGGAGGAGGAGGAGGAGGAGGAGGAGGAGGAGGAGGAGGAAGTTGTATCGGCTGCCAGCTGCGTCTCGCTCCGTTTGAGCATCCACTCAAGCTGCCAGCCGCCTCTGACGCCAACGGTGTTTTCCCCTGCCTAGGCTTGACGGAGGAGGAGGATGAGGAGGAGGAGGAGGATGAGGAGGAGGGCCCCAATGTCTCGGCAAAGAAAGAAGGAAGCGGAGGAGGAAGCGGAGGAGGAGGAGGAGGAGGAGGAGGAGGAGGAGGAGGAGGAGGAGGAGGAGGAGGAGGAAGAGGGTGCTCATTTCATTGTTTTCTCGGGTACCTCTGACACTACAGTCGCCCTGGGGCGGTGCCCCCCCGATGTTCCTCCCGCGAGCCTCTCCTGTGGACACTCCCGTGCGCGCCCGCTCGCCTGCGGCCCGAATCGTGCGACCAGCGCAGCTGCCAGAAAGCTCACTTCAAGAATGCCCGCTCACGTTGGCGACCCTGGAGGCGCTGGCCCCGAGGCGCTCCTCCGCGACAGCAGGGCCAGCCACCCCGCGCCCTCCCGCGGCCCCTCGTCGCCCCGCCGCGCCTGGCGCTGCGGGGCGCCGGCCGCGTCCTCGTTGGGCGCCGCCGCCTCGCCGCCGTCGTCGACGCCGCCAGCGTCGTCGACGACGTGGCAGCCATCGCGTGGCCGCCATTGTTGCCAGGCAGCACATCCGAGCGTGCCCGCTCGCCTGAGGCGCACCTCGTGTCGCCAGCGTTGTTGTCAAGAGGCCTGCCAGCTCCATCCAAGCGTTGCCTCGGACGGCCGGCGCACATCGCGTCGCCAGCGTTGGTGCCAGGAAGCTTGTCCAGATGCTCTCTCCAAGCGTGCACGCCCTCTTGCGGCGCACATGGCGCTGCCAGCGTTGTTGCCAGTAGTCATGGCGACAGGCCCACTCCAACCGTGTCTGCTCGCGGCCGGCAGCCATCTCGTTGCCAATGTCGATCCCAGCATGCAGGCCAGGAGGCTCGCTCCAAGCGTGCCCGCTCACTTGTGGCGCACATCGTGTCGCCAGCGCTGTTGCCAGGAAGCTTGCCAGGATGCTCTCTCCGAGCGTGCCCGCTCACTCCCAGCAGCCATGGGGTTGCCAGTATTGCAGCCAGGGTGCACGTTCTTGCGGCGCACGTCGCGCCGCCAACGCTGCTGCCAAGAAGCTTACTCCAAGCGTGCCCGCTCGCTCCCGTGCGCCACCGCGTTTCCAGCGTTGTTGCCATGACGCTCACCCAAGCGTGCCAACACACATGCGAGCCAGGCGCATCGCGTGGCTAGCGTTGCTGCCAGGACGCTCACTCCGGACGTGTCAGCTCGCTTGAAGTGCACATCGAGTAACCAGCGCAGCTGCAAGAAGCTCACTCCAGGTGCGCCCGTCCGCGGGCAAGGCGCATTGCGAAAACCGATTCCAGCGGCTTGTGTTCTTGAATTTCATGGCTCCCTGGCCCGCCTGCCCACCTTTGGCTCCCAGCCCGCCTGGAACGCACATGGGCGGGAAACAGCCTCCCAACGGCTTGCCAGGGCGAAGTCGCGTCTCCCGAGTGCACCTGCCCACTTCTGCCCCACAGCCCGCTTGGCCAGCGCATGGGCGAAGACAGGCCCCAGGGGTTCGCTCTCTTCAGCTACGGCTCCCGTGCCCGCCTGCCCTGCCCGTGTTTTGGGCTGCCAGCCCGCCTGGCCAGTGCACGGGCGAAAACAGGCACTTGCGCCTTCTTCTGTTCATTTGCTCGGTTCCCGAGCGCATCTGCCCTGCCCACTCCCGGCCCCGCTCGCCCGCCTGGCCGACGCGTAGCGCACGCGCAAGACCAGGTCCCAGTTCCCAGCGGTTCGGTTTCTTCGATTTCGGGGGCAACGATCGGGGGGGATAGGCTTAGGGGGATGCTTCGACCCCCAATCGCCCATTGATCACCGACAGGGGCCCGATAGCCCTACCCCGCCCAGCAACGTTCGGATTCGCTATCGGGGCCCTATCGCAGATCTATCGGCGACATATCGTCGATTCCAGGTCGATTTTTCCCCCCACTCCCAGACATGCGACGTTTTGATTTTTGTCAGTGCGGCGCCCCCAGAAGTCCCGACCCTGTCCCCAAGGACAAGTTTTTCATCCAGAGTTGTTTTCCCAACCATCATGTGGTGTTGGGTCCTCGTTTTGAAGAGACAGCGCCCCGCGTTCCTTCCTCCTCCCGCTGCCCCCCCTCCCTCTCCCCATCATCAGCATCATCGTCACTATCATCACCATCTCCCATCATCCATCAGCATCATCATCTGCAGCATTATCCTCCTTCACATCCACATCCACATCCTCATCCTCATCCTCATCCTCATCCTCCTCCTCCTCCTCCTCCTCCTCCTCATCATCATCATCATCAGCATCATCATCATCATCATCATCATCATCATCATCATCATCATCATCATCATCATCATCATCATCATCATCATCATTACCATCATCATCATCATCGTCGTCATCATCGTCGTCGTCGTCGTCATCCTCGTCATCCTCATCATCGTCCCCAGCACCCATGTCGGCACACCCCTCTCACGTTTCGTGGCCCCATAGGGAGCTTCTCCTAAGGTCCCAGTGGCGCAGCTCGCATGGCGGCGCCGCCCCATTTTGGCACACTCCTCACACGCTTCGTGGCCCCATAGGGAGCTCATCCTAAGGTCCCAGTGGCGCAGCTCGCATGGCGGCGCCGCCCCATGCTGGCACACCCCTTACATGTTCCGTGGCCCCATAGGGAGCTCCTCCTAAGGTCCCGTTGGCGCAGCTCGCATGGCGGCGCCGCCCCCTGTCGGCATACCCATCACGCGTTTCGTGGCCCCATAGGGAGCTCCTCCTACGGTCCCAGTGGCGCAGCTCGCAGGGCGGCGCCGCCCCACTTTGGCACACCCAACACGCGTTCCGTGGCCCCATAGGGAGCTCCAACTAAGGTCCCAGTGGCGCAGCTCGCATGGCGGCGCCGCCCACGTTTGGCACACCCCTCGCACGTTTCGTGGCCCTATAGCGAGTCCCAACTAAGGTCCCAGTGGCGCAGCTCGCATGGTGGCGCCGCTCCATTCTGGCACGCCCCTCACACGTTTCGTGGCCCCACAGAGAGCCCGTCCTAAGGTCCCAATGGCGCAGCTCGCATGGCGGCGCCGCCCCATTCTGGTACACCCATCATACGTTCCGTGGCCCCATAGGGAGCTCCAACTAAGGTCCCGTGGGCGGAGCTCGCATGGCGGCGCCGCCCAATTTTGGCATACCCCTCATACATTTTGCTTCACCGAGTTCATCCGCGAGGCTTGACCTTAGGAGGGGCCCGCCCGAGCCTCGCCGTTATCGACGGTCTGACTGTTTTGCCTCGCGCCGCGGGCGACCCGCGCGCGTCGTTGGGACCCTCTCGGGGCGACGGGCGCGCGTCGCGGGAACTCCATGCTGCGCTCTGCCCGGCGCCTCGCTCGCCCCCGTCGTCGCCATGCTCAGCGGCCAGAGACTTGCCCACTATCAGCTGGCCTGCGAGCTCTTTCTGCTCCGCGCAGCGGAAGACCCGCGCGCGTCGCTGGGACCCCTTCGGGGCGACCAGCGCGCGTCGCGGAGTCCCCGCGCCCGCAGCCTTGGACATGGTCGCGCACGGGCAAAGAGGGAAAATGAGCTTGGCGAAAGACCCAACCATATGCAGTTGTGGGTACCACAATTGTGAATATCTTCTTCAGGGGCGCTCCCTATGGGGCCAAGAAGCGCTGTGCTGGGTGGGTGAAACGCAGGGAGCAAGGGCCGTGTTGGATGGTGGCGGACGCATGCGGGCGGTGCCAATGGGACCTTCGGTGGAACCTCCAGAGGAGCCACGAAGCGCTGTGCTGGGTGTGTGAAACCCAGGGAGCAAGGGCTGTGCTGGGTGGTGGCGGACGCATGCGGGCGGTGCCACTGGGACCTTCGGTGGGGCCCCCTATGGGGCCATGAAGCGCTGTACTGGGTGGGGGAAACGCAGAGAGCAAGGGCCGTGTTGGGTGGTGGCGGACACACTCGGGCGGTGCCACTGGGACCTTCGGTGGAGCTCCCTATGTGGCCATTAAGCGTTGTATTGGGTGGGTGAAACGAAGGGAGCAATGGCTGTACTGGGTGGTGGCGGACGCATGCGGGCGGTCCCAGTGGGGGCTTCGGTGGAGCTCCCTTATGGGGCCACGAAGCGCTGTACTGGGTGGGTGGAACGCAGGGAGCAAGGGCTGTGCTGGGTGGTGGCGGACGCATGCGGGCGGTCCCAGTGGGGGTTTCGGTGGAGCTCCCTTATGGGGCCACGAAGCGTTGTATTGGGTGGGTGAAACGAAGGGAGCAATGGCTGTACTGGGTGGTGGCGGACGCATGCGGGCGGTGCCAGTGGGATCTTGGGTGGAGCCCCTATGGGGCCACGAAGCGCTGTACAGGGTGGGTGGAACGCAGGGAGCAAGGGCTGTGCTGGGTGGTGGCGGACGCATGCGGGCGGTCCCAGTGGGGGTTTCGGTGGAGCCCCCTTATGGGGCCACGAAGCGCTGTATTGGGTGGGTGAAACGAAGGGAGCAATGGCTGTACTGGGTGGTGGCGGACGCATGCGGGCGGTG